GGAAGAACAATGCTGAATAAAGCAGCTTTATGTATAGTTTAACAAATGATACAGAGAACCAGGGAACTAGCTGGGAACTGGATTGGCTGGCTATATGGATACTTGGGGCAGCTTGCTATTGGATAAGTATGCTGGGAAAAAGGATGTATAAAAGCCTGTGTAACTTCCTGCTCTGTGTGCAGGATTTGAGATTTTATTCTCCCTGTACCTTTTTGCAGCTGCAAATAAACTTTTCTGCTTCTCCACCCCGTTGTGATTATTGGGCGTAGCACACCGGGTAACGAATCAACTCAAGCTGTTGTTCAGCCTCTCGGCACTGGGTGCTGGCAACATCTGGGTGAGGTCATCTGGAGAGATGCCTGCCATCATACAAGCAGAGCCCTCCTTTCACAAGTGGGGTCTGGTGCCCACTGCTGGAAGAGTGCCACTGTCATTGGGGAGTAGCCCTGTTCTAGGCCCAAATATCTTGACAAGGGATTTATGGACAATGAGGAGAATAATTTTCCTACCATAGAGTAACCATGACATTTGAGAACCATGAACCCTAATGCCAATGCATCCTCCACGCGTAGCGTGTGCTGCTTTGGGCAGATGGAATGGAAGGCGTATGGAATGGGACACTGGCCCTTTCAGGCCAATGATGCCAATTCACTTCCCCAGAGGCATCACAGGCTGACATCAGGAGGCCAGGATCTAAATACAGAAATACAGGAGCTGCAGCCCATTTTTGTTTTGGCCGCTACGAGGCGCGTGAACATGCTGGGGACCATTCCCATCCTATCCCTTGGGTTGGTCAGTTACTGAAGGGGCACCACAGTGTGGATAGGCCCTTTCGAAGTCTGCCAGAGAATGCCTGGCTGGCTGAAAGTGCCTGGCATTGAGCGTGAGAGATGGGCACAGGGGCTGTAAGAACAGCTACCTCTTCTGGCCAAAGAAATTAAAGAGGCACTGCACGGCTGTGCCCGTTGCCCTACAGCTGTAGGCAAGAATGTATTGGGGCTATCACGGCTCCCCCCGTGGAGCATGAGGCTCCCTTGCTCGGCCTGATCCAAACACTTGGGAACTATTGCTAGGCAGCAGAGTTTTCATTAGAATGTGTTGCCTTGTTAAAGAAATTAGCATCTCCAGGTTATTTTAGAACCACCTGCCAGCACAAGCAGTGGAACAATCAGTGCTTGGGGTCTCTGGTGTTTAGGAATTGGGTGGTATCCCTTTAAATCATTTGGGAGCCCTCTATGGGGCCTCCTTGCCAGTGGTTTGAGCATTAGCCTGCTAAACCCAGGGTTGTGAGTTCAATCCTTAGGGGGCCATTAAGGGATGGGGCAAAAATTGGGGATTGGTCCTGCTTCAAGCAGGGGGTTGGACTAGATGACCTCTTGAGGTCCCTTCCAACCCTAACCTTCTATGATTCTATGATTCTATTGCAGAATGTACCCATTGCGATCCCTGCCAGAGCAGCAGTGTACACAGGGAGCTAGGCTGGTATCTTTGCACATAAATAAACAGGGCTACAGTAAGAACCTCAGTTACGAACACCAGAGTAGCAGACGCATCTCACTTGGAGATGGAAGTATGCAATCAGGCAGCAGCACAGGCAAATAAAAAAACAAGCAAACACAGTGCAGTACTGTGTTAAACCTAAACTACTAAAAATAGAGGGAAAGTTTAAAAAAAGATTTGACAGAGTAAGGAAACTGTTTCTGTGCTTGTTTCATTTAAATTAAGATGGTTAAAAGCAGCATTTTTCTTTGGCATAGTAAAGTTTCAAAGCTGTGTTAAGTCAATGTTCAGTTGTAAACTTTTGAAAGAGCCACCATAGCGTTTTGTTCAGTTACGAACATTTCAGACGCATTCTCCATTCCTGAGATGTTCATAACTCTGTTATGAGGTTCTACTGTATTTGGAATCCAGTTGTGCCAGTGTGGGTTCCCCATATTCTGAATGTTGTGTAGAAAGCAAAGACAACAGGATCCAGAGCCAGACTCTGCATGGCAGGTTTTTGAACATGGCTTGTGGCAATTAACTATTCCAGGAAAAGGCATTACAAACCTGCCTCAGCAGGGCTGAAACTCATGCAACCAGCATTTCACCAAACATCCTCACAAGATGCAGCAGTTCATCCTTGAACAGCCAGAGGTGGGAATGAGGAAGGGCTCAGGCACTGTGGGGTGAGCAGAGATGGCTACAAAAGTGACAAGCTCCTTGGGAGACAGCCAGCTAGGAAGCCAAGGAGGGGACACGTGTTTCTAATGTGGTCAGCCAGCTTCCGTGAGTCAGGTTCCTTAGCCAGGCAGCATGTAGGACCTGTAAAAACATTTCTTATCCTTGTTGTGTGAATCAAGGGCAGCGGAACTGTACTTGGCATACCCCAATTGAGGGACTCGCTAGGGAGGGGACATGGGTTCCAAAGCCCAGTGAGTTGAGAGAGAGGGTGGTGTGGGCCCGGCTTAAGGGTCTTAGACACCATTTGACCTGTTCTCTCTCCACTGTGTAATAAAAGAACTAATTTAGACTCAATTGAGAGTCTTTTTACACACCACAGAGCTGAAATCACTGATACCTAGATCTGAGTGTTAGACCTGCTTTGGGACAATATCTCTGATGCAAGAGACTACTTAGTGTGCACCAGCAGTGAGGCTCCCCCACTAACAGCTGAAATCACTGTATTAAGGATATAATGCATGTACCACAGGAAGTCCTATTAGCTCTGAGAAAAAAAACTGAACTTGACTGGATGGTAAAACTAGATGTGAGTGGGCACATTAAGACTGACTAGATTAACAGTATGGACATTGTAATAAACCCAAACAAGTTAAGGATTTAACTTGTTATAGATCCAGAATACTTGAATAAGGCCATCAAACACAAACACTACCCCAGGACACCAGCTTCAGGTTTGGAAACGAGCCAAAAATTCTGGCTTCATACTTGAAGTGCTAGACTTCCCCTTCACTTCCCCTTTTGGCCCCTGTGTTTAGGTGACTTCTCTAGATTACTGCTGCATGTGAGTGAAACCAAAACAACATGTCTCACATCTCTGAGGATTTGCTGATTCAGGACAGGAGTTAACTACAATATGTGACTGTGTAACATGCAAAAAACCCTCAAACCACACCAAATCCAACACTGGAAATTGAACAAAAGCAAGTGTCAGGGCTACAATGAGATTTGTTTATGTAGGGAGTATCCATAATTTCACGTACAGTGCTTTTATAGACATTTCACAGTGAGTATTAATGATCAGTGTGTTATTACTTTTCAGATGATGTTTTACATGACACCTTTCAAATAAAGATCACGTTGACAGGGTGCGAGGTGTATTGAGCTGGTCAGGTTAGCTGAGTTTTATTGTTCATACTGGGGGGAGCCCTTTTGCATCCGGTATTGGGGAGCTCTGAGATCACAGTGCCTAACTTTTAAGCATCTAGAAAATCACAGGGATGACACTGCTATCCACAAAGCTGAGTTAGGTGCCCAGGCGCCCTATACAATGACTGGGGAGACAGATGCACTTTAGACTGCGATCCACAAAAGTCAACACACTAGGTGGGGAGATGCCGACCAGAGGGGTGTGTGCTAAGTTCCTCCCCTCTCACATAGATAGGAGCCTAATGCTGAGCTACAGAGATATGTCACACTGTCTGGAGTGCCTCATGAGCATGAGCGCCAACTTCAGGGCAGACTGTCAAGAAGCAGGGCAGAGGACCCAAACTGGTTTTATGTTCTATAATTCGATTTCACCTGCCCAGTGACAAGTGTGAACTCCTAAAGCACTATAACAGTTTTAACATGGAGTCAAAGACAATGCCCTTGGGCATTCCAGTCTATCTTGCCACCCAGGTAAGCTGGATTTAGTGATAGATAGTTGCTATACACCAAAGTTCACCAAATATTCTGGTAACTCTCACATCAAAGACAATGCTTGTAGTCAATCCTCTAGTTAAGGCTCTACCAAATTCACAGTCCATTTTGGTCAATTTCATGGCCATAGGATTTTTAAAATCGTAAATATCATGATTTCAGCTATTTAAATCTGAAATTTCACGGTGTTCTAATTGTAGGGGTCTCTTACTTCTGCGCTGTTGCTGATGGCGGCGCTGCCTTCAGAGCTGGGTAGCTGGAGAGCGACAGCTGCTGGCTGGGAGTCCAGCTCTGAAGGCAGAGCCGTTGCCAGCAGCACCCTCAGTCAGCAGCTGCCACTCTCTGGCTGCCCAGCTCTGAAGGCAGCAGGGCAGAAGTAAGAGTGACATGGTATGGTATTGCCACCTGTATTTCTGTGCTGCTGTTGGTGGGGCACTGTCTTCAGAGCTGGGCACCCGGTCAACGGCTACCGCTCTCCGGCCGCCCAGCTCTGAAGGCAGCGCAGAAGTAAAGGTGGCAATACTGTAGCCCCCTCCTAAAATAACCTTGTGATCCCCCCCCCCCGCACAGCTGCCTTTTCAGTTAGGATCCCCAATTTGAGAAACGCTGGTCTCCTCTGTGAAATCTGGTCTTTTGTGTGCTTTTACTCTGTACTATACAGATTTCATGGGCGGAGACCAGATTTCACAGTCCGTGAGGTGTTTTTCATGGCTGTGAATTTGGTAGGGCCCTACCTACAGTAAACTACCTCAGAATTTATTAACTAAGAAAAGAAATGAGAGAGTTATCACAGGGTTAAAGCAGGCATACATACACAAATGAGTTACATATTCCTAGGGAGCTGAGCAGAGCATAACAGTTTGAACCCCATTGCTGGCAGGTGTGGGGGGGGGTCAAGGAAGGTTTAGGACTTAGTGTAAAGGTAATCTGTGGGGCAACATTCCAGGCCCTGTCAAAGTGCGCACTGTCCCTTTAAGAATAAGATAAAGGTGGAGAAAGCGGGTTGACAGTATAAAATGCGCAAGCGCAAACGACTATGTCAGAGACTTATTTGACAGCGAGGAAAATGTCACGCGCACGCGCACTTCCCAATAAGTGGAGCGCAGATAAGGGGGAACTTATTTCGCGAAGCACTCAGTGTGGCGTGGTGCACGCGCCCTGTGTGCCGAGAAACCGGGGTCCCCCGGGTGAGTTTTCTGGCGCTGCCGGAAGTGTCCGGAGAGAGCCGAGCCGAGCGGAGCGGAGCCTCCCGTGCTGTGTCGCCGGCCTCACCCACTGCGGGCACCATGGAGCCGGGCGCCTGAGGGCGGAGCGGTGCCCTGCCCCCGACATGCCAGCCGGGCTCATCGGCGCAGGTAACCGGCCCTCCCCAGCGGGCGGGCAGCGACGGGCCCCGGGCGCCCTTGCGGGCCGGGCGGCACAGCGGCAGCTGCCCTGGGGAGGCCCGGGCCCTGGGTGGGCCGGCTCCGCCCTCGGGCTGTGGGCGCCGCGGGGGCAGCAGGGCCTGGCCGCGTAGGGGGGCTGCGGCCGGCTGCCCCAGGGCGGGCCCGGCAGGTTGGGCCCGGCCTCGCCGCGGCGGCTGCGGGGTGTCGCCTCTGCCGCCCGCGCTGAGAGGTGCCAGCCCGCGGGCCGAGCCCCGGCGATGCCCGCGCCGCCCGGGAGGCGCTAGCTCCGCGGCCCGAGCGCTCCGGGCCCGGGGACCCGCCCTGCCCCGAGCGGAGTCCCGCCGCAGCGGGTGACGTTCCTTCGCTCCCGGGCCGGCTCACCGCCGGAGGCAGCGCCGGGCAGGGCCCGTCGTGGGCACCCTGCTGGCCGCTGCCTGCCGGGGCGGCGGGGCAGGTTCGCCGAGACTCCGGCAAAGCAGCAGGGGCTCAGGAGCGGGTCCCTGGGGACTGGCGGCGGGTGGCGAGTCTTCGCGGCCCCTGTAGTGAGCGCAGGCAGCTGCCTACATCTCGGGCATGCTGGCAGCTGCCTGCACTAGAGGTTCTGGCTTAGGCTGAAGTGATACAGGGAGAGCAAGAGGGCACTTCTCTGTTCACCACCCTTGGACAGAGCATGAGGCAGTGAACTAGGAAGGGGTTTGAATAGCTTATTGGGAGTCCGGGTTTAGTCTTCAACTGGTTTATAATATAAAACTGCGTTAGGGGAGTACCTTGGAATTGCCAGACACCGACTAGCCATAAGTGGCTACAAAAGAGGATCCCCTCTTTGGGTAGGCCCTGGGCCAGCACCATTTGGGAAACCCAGGTGCCCCATGACCCAAACTGCTGTGAGAACAAAGCTGGGATTTCTGCAATGATGCTTGCTCTGAATCCTGCTGTGGGAAGGGAGCTCCATCTTTTATATTATCTCCAGACGATTAAGTGTTATAAATTTGAAAGTTTGTCTTAACTCACTGTTGAAAGAGCGAGCAAGCTTTCTCTCTCTTCTCCTGTTCACAGCTCCTTGATTGCTGCAAGTCGGAGTACAGTGTGTGGGGATGGAGAAAGGAAGGTTTCTGTTACTTTCTCCTTTCATTAGATTCCCCCTTGAATAATTTCAGTGCCTGCCTCTGTTGCTGCTGCTCAGGAAAACTATTTGCAATGGGACGTTTTCATGATTCTTGATTTTTCACAGTTGATATTCAGAACTATTGGTATCAGTGAACTCTGCTGTTGTATGGCAAAATTATGAGAACGGCAGAAGCATGGAAGGTGACTGTAGACTCAGAAAGGCAGTTCTTTTTGATAGTATTAAGATAATACTAAAACTAGAGACCGAAGAAATGATGCATCTGGTTTATGAAGAGCTGGGATTGGCCATAGTGCTATCTACTCATGAATGGCCAAAGTGCTAGCTAGGTACAGAAATTCAGCCTACCTACTTATAGCAAAGTGTTCATTATTGTGGCTAACCTATAAGATTTTTTTTTTTTTGGCCTTGTGAGCTTCCTTTGAAGGTTCCAGTGGACCAAACTGAAGTGGCTCAGCTGAACTCAGCCAGTCCTGTTAGAGATGAAGTGTGATCTCTATCTGACCAACTTCAGCATTGCTTGCTGGTACATCCAGGAGACTGGACTGGAGGAGACAAGTCATAGTCCTCGAGTTTAAGGCCAGAAGGAGCCACCATAACATCTAGGGTGACCAGATGTCCCGATATTGAGCAGTTTGTCCCGTGTCCTGACCGAAGTATGGTCGGGACTCCATTTGTCCAGATACTTTGTTTCGGGCACAGTAGCCCTTTTTGCTTAGGCGGCAGTGACAGGCAGGGGGAGTGGCTTTTCAATTGTACTCACCCGGCATGTCCGGGTCTTTGGCGGCGGGTACTTCAGTCGCTGATGGGCTTCGGCAGCATTTTGGCGGCGGGTGGTACTTTCTTCGTCAGCAAGATTTATTTCCCGCTGCCGAACGTGCTGGGTGAGTGTAACAATTGAAAAGGCGCTTCCCCTGTGGTGGCCCCGATATCTTGGATTCCACATCTGGTCACCCTAATACTATCTAGTTTGACATCCTGTATAGCACAGGTCACCAACACCACCCAGCATCGGCCCACTAAACCCAACAACAGAAATCAGACCAAAATACCGTGGCCCTCCGGAGACTAGACTGTTATGTGCCACAGGTAGAGAATAGGAGGGACTGATGTGCATCAATGCCTTACGACCCTGTCAATAGTTGGGAAATGGTTAAGTAAGGTATACCCAAGTAATCTTGGCAAGTGACCTGCATGCACATGCTGCAGAAGATGATGAAACCTCCAAAGTTGATGTCAATCTGGCCTGGAGCAAAATTCCTTCCTGACCCCACATATGGCAATCCTTTAGATCCTGAGTATGTGAGCAAGAACTGGCCAGCCAAGCACCTGAGCAAGAATGCTTGGTGCCATTTCAGAGCCCTGACCCTCCCTGTCTAATGTCCCATCTCCAGCAATGGCCATCCCTGATGGTTCAGAGGAAGGAGATTAAAACAAACCCAGAATATACTGGGGGGAGGAGGAATCCCTTCCTGATCCCTGTAGGTAACTTTTAGGAATATAAGACATAAACCAAAAGTGAGCCTCAAGGCTCAGAAAGACTACCATTGCCCCCCTACCATCAGAAGCAACCATGTTATTCAATCACACTCTTAATTGACAGAAAGATGAAGGTGGTGGGAAGAAATGTGGTGGTGTGATTTTATAAATGGGAGAGCAAAACAAGACAAAGGGTAGAAGCTTCAAAACTGGTTAGGCACTTAAGAATCTAAGTCCCATTAACATTCAACAAGACTTAGGCCTTGTCTACGCTTTATTACATGAACTTAGCTGCATTGTTCAGGTCTGTGAAAAATTTTACGCCCTGATCACTATAGTTAGGTCAATCTAACCCCTAGTGTAGATGTGCTCGGTTGATGGAATTCTGCTGTCGACCTAGCTATTGCCTCTTGAAGAGGTGAATTAACTACGTCAAGAGACAACCCCCTCCCATCAATGTAGGATGCACATATACTATGGCACTATAGCAGCACAGCTGTAGTTGCTGTAGTGTAGACGTACCCTTCCACTCCTAGATGCGGAAACACCATCTCCTGTGACAGTAAATGCAGATTCTAAAGGGGCAGATTCCAGCATATTACAGGAGTGGTTAAAGTGGAATTGAAAGGGGGTGAGAAATAAAAAAACAAGAGAAGAGACTCCCTTCTTTTGGAATAAAATGCCTCCAGAGTGTATCTTGACCTCTCCAAAAGTTTGTAGCTGGGGCCCCCAAACTTCTGACATCAGGATTTAGTCTTGCACATCTGCCAGCTGACTTTCATTCTGTATCTACTCTAGCTTCAATGTTGTCACCCACCCTGAAGCTTCCCATGAAGGCTTTGCCTCTCTGTCCCAGTGGAATTCAGGCAGTTCCACATATCACAATATTTTGCCCTCCTATAGGGATTTTAAATTACTTGAGGATGTCAAATGGTTTTACAAACCATGTTAAATCTCCCAGTCTTCCTGTGGTGTGGTGTAGTTATGCAGTAATATCCCATTTTATGGAGACTAGACACTGCATTTGAAATATGTGATCTTAAAGTTCATCTCCATATTTAGGAGCCTAAATTAAGTGGTTTGATTTGGAAGTGGGGTGCCTGTAAAGTCCTCTGATGTAATTGGATATTGTAGGTGCTCAGCACCTCAGGAAACGAGGTCACTTTTTAAGAAAACTGAGTACCTTATAGATTTAGGAGCCTAGCTAGAGTTTAAGACTTTGGTCACAGTTGGTTGCCCAAGGCCTGTCAAAATAGGGAATAAAACCCAAATCTCTTGATTTTTTTTTTTTCCTGACCCCTGTGTGTGTGGTTTTTTTTTTTTTTTTTTTTTTTTTTTTTTGTTTTAAAGAGGCTTCTCTCACAAGAGCAAGAAATCCGTGTTTTAAGCTTGCTAAAAAGCAGTTGGGAATTCTAGTTTTCAACTGACAAAACATTAATTTCTGATTGCAGTGGTTCCTAAGATAACAGCTACTAAAATCATGCCAGAGTTTAAATGGATGTGGAGGAAGCCAGATGAAAATCTGAATGACCTTCCCTATTGAAATATGTTAATAGATCCCTAGTTTTAATAAAATTCAACAAAAATATTTTAGCTTCAAAACCTCTCAATTGCTCCACTAAACAAAGTTATTATTTGTACTTCCTCTGTAGTTCCCTGTGAAATTTGAGAGGATGTTTTTTGCTCTGTGCTTCTTCTGAGGACATAAGCACTTCCTGTTTCCAAATTTAAGAGGCTGTGAAATAGTTTAATGAAGTTAGGTGGAGAAATACGTTTCAGATGTTTTTTCTTTAACTTTGGGTGTTGTTAGCAAGTTGAACTTGAGGATAGCTGTGATTACATCACTAGGAAACTTGAATATCCTCCCAAGTTTCAAAGGGACAGGGAGCTGCAGCTGAAGTAAAAATACTAACTGTTGTTTTTGGACCAATTTTAGTGGCTTGATAAAGTTAAAATTCAAGAACACATCAAAATATAAAAACAATTTAGTGTGTGTATAAATGTATGTTTTAAATCTCATCTCTGCCAACTTGCCATGGCTATAAACTGTTTACAAATGCTTTATTGATCAGTAAACTTCCAGGCAGTGGTCCTAGATTGATTACCAAAAAGATATTTCCTCTCCCTGACACTTTTTTTGAGCACTATAAAATTGTCCATGTAGGTATGGAATCTGAAAATTGTGTCTTAAATCTGACAAAAGATCTTTTTCAGCATCAGAAAAAGTTCTGTTAGGCTTTTTGGATACCAAAGCACAAACCGTTTTAGAAATAGGTTTCAGAGTAGCAGCCATGTTAGTCTGTAGTTGCAAAAAGAAAAGGAGTACTTGTGGCACCTTAGAGATTAACCAATTTATTTGAGCATA